GATGACCGGAGTCATAATGGCCGGAGCCGTAATAAAACATGATGACCGGAGTCATAATGGCCGGAGCCGTAATAAAACATGATGACCGGAGTCATGATGGCCGGAGCCGTAATAAAATATGATGACCGGAGTCATGATGGCCGGAGCCGTAATAAAATATGATGACCGGAGTCATGATGGCCGGAGCCGAAGTAAAGTAGCTAACAATTATAATTATAAAAGTAAACAGAAGTGCTGAGTTAGACGGAAGCATAAAGACAGGATAAAATATAACAAAATATAAATAAAGAAGTAAAATTGGCCAGGGCCATAATAAAATATAATAACTGAGGTCATAATGCCCATATCCGAAGTAAAATGTGTGAGATTGGGTTGCTGTGGCCAAAACCGAGGTGAAATTTAATGCAGTATTACTGTGGTTCCGAGGTGAAACACTTTGCACAATTGAGAATATGCAAAAATGAACAGAAGTGTTGAAATGGGTGTATGTGGGCCCGTGTATGAGTACTGACATTGGTGTGACAGTTGTCCTTGGAATGACGTGCGCAATAAATGTGGCCGTAAAAAGATAACTGCAACAGTTAAACGGGCAAAAAATTAAAAACGAACCGTCTAATTCAAAACGGTATCGTTTAGGGATGTCCATTGAATTCTAAACGGTGTAAATAGGAACCGTTAGATTAAATGAATCTCAGCCATTGAGATCTAATTTTGCCCAGAGGTATAAATAGGTCTTTTTTCTGAAGAAAAAGGTTTACTTGCATTTCTTTTTCCTGCAAAACTTTTGCGAGAAGCTTCATCGTTCATCTTCTGTTCGTGAACTGTGGTAACAACTGGGGATCCCTACATCAACTCTTTCGAAACCAAAATCAGGTATTGTACCCAAGCTTGTGATTTTTGATTTAATCGAAGTGTTTCTCTCCTTCCTACCTTTCTGTGATTGATTTAGAGGCCTTCGAAGGAAGTTAGGGTTAGAGGGGAGAAGGATCTTGAATGTGCAACAAAAAAGGGGTTTATTTTTTTTTTTTTTTATTTTTTTTTTTTGTTTCCTGACTCATTCCTCCCCCCTACTTCGTGCAGAGTTTGAGAAAATGTCGTCAGAAAGGTCAGAAAGTATAGTAGGGAGTGAGGTGGAGCCTTTGGACTATGGGGGTATGGACTCAGAGAGTAGTCCATCTTCCACTAGTTCGGAGGAAACAGTGGAGGGATTGAGAGGAGATGAGGTGATGGGTATTGGGGGGGGTGAGATGGCAGAGGTTGGAAGGAATGAGGTGGTGGGGGTTGGGGTAGATAGTTTACCCATCACCGTAATAGAAGTAGAAAATAATGGGGAGAGAGGTTACGATAGAAATGCGGATATAGTGGAAGAGGTAAAACAGTACCGATCTGAACTAAGGACCAGGGATGACCTGTGTCACTTAGTAGAAACGTACGATATCTCTTCCCGGGTGTTAGTTAGGCCAGCCGGGGTAGAGGAGAGGGCATGTTCTGCTCCTTGGGATCACTGGATGCCAGTGTATTCCCAGTACTTGCTAGCGGGACTCAAGTTTCCACTTCCTGAGTTGCTGATAGGTTTGTTGTTAGATTACAACATAGGGTTGACACAGTTGGTTCCCAACGCAATGAGGGTAATAATAGGTTTTTTAGTTTATTGCCGAGCTCAGGGAATCAGTGTGCCAACTGTAAATATGTTTAAGTATTTTTTTGTTTTAAAGGGTAGTAGCAGGAGGGATAAGGGGTGATATTACTTCACCCCTAGGGTAGATAAGAAAGAAAGTAGGATTTTATTTACTGCGGGTCCTTCCTCCATCAAAGGATGGAAGGAAAAATTCTTTTTTATTGATGATACGGAGTGGGGGAAAGGGGATGCCGAGGTGAGGGCATTAGCTTCCTGGAAGGCTAAAAGGGCCAACCAGAATAAGTTTAGTTTGAATGGAGATGAGGAGGAAGAGGTGAGGAAGTTGGTGAGGAAGAGGGGGGATGTGTTGAACATCATGGACCTCACCAGCGCAGCATGCATAGAGGCTGCTGAGCTCTATGGGCCCAGTGCTCTGAGCGAAGGTTTGTTTTACCTACACTGTAGTGGTAAATGTAAAACATAGAAATGGTACTAATATTGTGTTTTTTCTTTTTGCTTTGCAGCTGACATGAATCAGTTTTTGGGCGCGGCTGGAGGAAAGGCTATCCCCAAGAAGCCAAGAAATAAGTCAAGGACTTCAACGAGACAAGTGGATGAGGGGATAAGTGGGAAGGAGGTGGTGCCCACTGATTCAATTGAGACGGGGGAGGAGGTGGCACCACTGAAGAGAAAAGGTTGGGAGGAGAGGAGGGCGTTGGAGAAGAAGAAGAAGGTGGTGGAGGAGGAGAGGAGCGAGGTGCCTGAGTTTGTACCTCAGCCTCCTCCTGTTGAGCTGAACCCAGAGCTCAGACGGTTGGAGGAGGGGGCTGAGGTACGAGCTCCTGGCAGGGGAAAGGGGCCTCTTCCTCCACTGGGGCCTCAGAGCAGCTTGTTTGGAGCAAATAACATGACGGGGGCTAGGTGGTTCATCAACAACACCTTCCCCGAAGTGGACTTAAAGAATGGGCGTGAAGAAGCTCTGAGGTATGGAGGAGCATCTGTTGTGAAGCATGCGCTCGAGGTAAGTTAAATTAGTAATGCTGTTTATTTATTCTATTGCTTCTTCTCTTCTTTCTCTTTGAACTTCTGCTTTGATTTGCAGAACGCGAGCTGGGTGAATGGTCTAGCCCAGGAGTTCAGAGAGAGTACAAAGGAGCGCGTACGCTTGCAGAGGCAGTGTGACCAGCTGCAAAAGGAGAAGGAAGAGCTGGAGAAAAAGAATAAGGAGCTGCAAGCGTCGCTGGATGAGGTGGTTCTAACTCTGAAGCAGTTGGAACAGGATAAAGCTTCCCTGGGCACCAAGCTCGGCTTTGAAGAGACCAAGCGAAAGATCTCTGAAAGCGAGCGTGAGGTTCTGGCGCAAGAGCTAAAGCTGACCAAGGAGGCTTTCTCGGAGCTGAAGGGGAATGTGCAGACCCTGGTGCACAATGGGATGGAGGAGCACATCAGCAACTTCATCAGCTCTAGCTCGTTTGGCAACATCGTCAACCTCTACCGATTGCCAACTGCCATCATCGCCTTCACGGACTGCAGAAGAAAGGTGAAGACTGTCTATCCCGAAGTGGATGTGACAAGGATAACTTTTGGAGAGCAAGAAGCTGGAGTGGAGGAAGATGGTGAAAGCATGTCAGCAGATTTCCGCCCAGAAATCAAACTGAAGTGGGATCATGACGCTGATGGGCGCACCGTTTTTCCTCCGAACTTCGACTTCGAGTTCGTGGCAGTAGAAGAAGAAGGGGCAGAGGCAGAGGAAGATGAAGTGGAGGCTGGAGTGGAAGGAGTTGGAGTGAATGAGAGCCACCCAATTTCAGAAGTGGAGATCCATCCAGTTCCTTCTGATGATGATCAGCCTCCCCTGCCAGACGAGCAGCAGCCAAGGCAGCCACCTCTTCCAGCTGAAGAGGAGCTAGTGGAGCCACCTCCTCCAGCATAGAATTAGCTTTTTTGTTTTTTAGTGCTTTTACTTTTTGTAAAACATTTAAACAGTTTGTAGTAGTTTTGATTCATTAAATGAAAAA